TGGGGGGGGGGGGGTAATAATCATTTCTATTCCTATTCTTCTTAGAACTTCTTCAAAAAGCGCAAAAGACTTACCTGACTCGCTGTTGTTCTCCACATTATGACTGGAGTTTGTGTTGACCTGACTAGCCGGCACAGGCGTGTCTCCGGACCGGGACGACTGTGTGTCCTCCTGCTGGCTGAAGCTCAGGTTCTGGGACGGTGGACGCTGCGGGAAGACAGACAAATGGTCAGTGTTAGGGCAATGTCAGGTTTGAATAGACAGATACACATTGGCATAACGACGGTCATTTAGTGTAGAGAAAGAGAAATATAGACCGACCAGAAACAGAAGAGGATCTGTGAGTGGCGCCCTCCAACCAACTGCTGATGCGGTTTATGTCCGGATACCCCTAAGGATATTAGGGTAGTGGATTTGATCATGACTGCACAACACTATGTTTGTTAAAAAGTTAAAGAAAATAAACAACACGACAATAACCCCCGGGGTGACATTTATACAAATACTGGACGCTTTGAAACAACCGTCAATTGAACAAATCAAAAGACATGTCGTGTCTCCATGCTGAAAAGCGAAGGAGGGGTGACTTAGGTTATTTGTAAAGTGGAGAAAAGCGATATTGTCCAAATTAACTGCTTTCATTTAGATGTAAATTTGGTTTACAAAAAATCAAAGTGCGAGATGTAAATGGCTAGGGACAGGGGTGGGGGCGAGGCTATTGCTCGTAGAAAAGGAAAGAAAAGGAAACCAAAGAGCAAGCGAGTGCTGGCAACACGCAGCGGGGAAAGGGACAAGATGGAGGACAACTCTAAATGGAGACATGTTGGAAGATAACAGACATACACACAATAACTGTCACATAAACACTGTAACTGCCATCTTGAGCTTGGAGCGCGTGCACTCCCGACCAATCATCTGACGTGAGCAAATACACGTGACACTCATCGTCGGATGCCAGCCCACTGAGTTTGTGTCCTGCAATATTCTGTTATATCTCAACTCTTAAGAGGAGGTGGAGAAAATGTTCCATGGGTGTATCTGTTTGTGTGAGTGTGAGTGTGGAAGGGAGGGGGTTAACGCAGCCTTGAGTTACTCGCAGAAGCGCAATAAGGGAAAGTTTCAGGGGAGGACATCATGTTCCCTGAAACATGGCACACCCGCGGGTTGCCCCCTTTGTTGGCACAAACAATGAGGTGACAGCGAGGACCTTGGGATCGGACAGCAGGTAAATACCCCAATTTCCTGGACGCAAGATCTCTCTCTCTCTCTCTCTCTCTCTCTCTCTCTCTCC